ACAACCACCAGATCCAGCCTTTGGTCGAGTGTCTAGTCCTCCCAGTGCAATGATATCGTCAAGAATGGGTCCCTCCCAGAATCCCATGATGCAACACCCCCAGGCTGCATCCATCTATCAGTCCTCAGAAATGAAGGGCTGGCCATCAGGAAATTTGGCCAGGAACAGGTAAAGAACAGTGACTTCTAAAGTTAGTCACATCTTAGTCCCAGAAGTCCAAGAACTTACTGTAATTTTCAGTCAAGCCTTTTTGTATGGAGAGATTGAAAGGACTGGGTTCATATTAGAAGGTGTGTTATTTGGCTTGTCCATTTTGAGAGTTCTTCAAGCATGCACATTATCTATTAGGGTATCTAGTACAGAAAGCTGTGAAAAATGGATCACAGGCTGTCAGGGAGTTTTCTCTCTGACATTCCCAGCTTAAGTATAGCAATGTTTGACACAATTGTAGTAGTTTCTGTGGGCATGCCCTTTGTCACTAAAGTGACTTCCAGAGGTAATATTACCGTTTCTTTACTTACAGCTCCTTTTCCCAGCAGCAGTTTGCCCACCAGGGGAATCCTGCAGTGTATAGTATGGTACACATGAATGGCAGCAGTGGTCACATGGGACAGATGAACATGAACCCCATGCCCATGTCTGGCATGCCTATGGGCCCTGATCAGGTATGAAATTGATTCCTTACCTTTTTCAGAAAGTTTTTCTTGTTCTCTGGATAGAACTAAAGCCTCAGCTATAATCAGAATGCCCTAGGTATATTTTTAACTTGAATGTGTAACTTAAAATATAGTAATTGAAAAAACTTGGTTTGAAGGCATTGGGCCATTGGATACTTTTGGTAAGTCAAGCTGCATTGTAAGATGGGATCTCAGGAACCTGAATCACTCAGCCAGAGCTGCACTGTAAGCCATGAATGTGGGCATGGATTTTTTTGTTGTGTAAAGCATGTGTTTTACTCAGTTTTTCTGGTTGCTAACAGAAATACTGCTGACATCTCTGCACCAGGACCTCTTAAGGAAACCACTGTACAAATGACACTGCACTAGGATTATTGGGAAGGAATCATTGTTCCAGGCATCTATCTTTGAAGAAAGGACCAGCTTTGAGCTCCGTCAAGGGTATTTTAAGTGATGTCATTTGAGCAGGACTGGATTTTAAGCCAAACGGCAGTATCTACCTGTTTTTTTTCTCCTCTCCTCCTGCTGTGTATCATGGTGTTCAAAACAGAAATATTTTTTGGCATTCCACCTCCTAGGGATATAATTCTGGAGATACGGAGTCCTACTGATCATAAAACTTTTGTGTCACTTTTTTCTGCCTTGCTAGCCAAAGTCTCTTAAATACACATAGGTGGGCCAGAGAACACTGGACAAATCAAGAGAGATTGGAACATCTGGTTTCTCTAGTTGCAGTATTGGACAAAGAGCATAGTCCCAGCCCTCAGGTGTTTTTGTCACTACCAAGTAGTTCTGTGTTGACCCTCTGTCCAGTGGAATTGGTGATTCTGAATTGTCCTTTACTGATGGTGTTGAGTTGCTCTGTCCCTATTATTTGTCCTAGGTTTTCTCCTAATGAAGGTTTTCATTTGCCGTTCATGTCCTGTAATACTTCACCTCCAGGAACTGTCATGGATGTCCAAATGGCTTTGCAGAAGGGAAATGAGATGACAGTATTTAATTGCAGCAGTAGCAAACTTTTCACATGCTGATGTGCAGCTGAGTGCACTTTATTTAAAAAGTAATGGATAAATGCAATATTCTTGAGGTCTTGAGGGAATAGTGAAACACATTCCTGGTTTTTGCCTACACTTACGTGTTGGACAAGAACTATGATTTTTTTTTTTTTTTTTAAAGTACTGGTGTCACCCTTTGCCTATATGGTAGAGCAATAATGCTTTTTGAAAATAAACTTCTGAAAACCCAAGGCCAGGTACTGCATTCTGAATCAGAATCTCGCAGTGTTTCTGTGAATAGACTTTTTTGTAAATACGACCTTTAAGATATTGTATTATGTAAAATATGTATATACCTTTTTTTGTAGGTCACAACAACTCATTTTTACAGAGTTTGTGAAGCTAAATATTTAACATTGTTGATTTCAGTAAGCTGTGTGTGGAGAGGCTACCACTGGAAGAGACATCCCTTGACTTCCGTGGCCTGGCGGAGGGGTAGTGCTCCACAGCTTTTCCTTCCCCACCCCCCAGCCTTAGATGCCTCGCTCTTCAATCTCTTAATCTAAATGCTTTTTAAAGAGATTATTTGTTTAGATGTAGGCATTTTAATTTTTTAAAAATTCCTCTACCAGAACTAAGCACTTTGTTAATTTGGGGGGAAAGAATAGATATGGGGAAATAAACTTAAAAAAAAATCAGGAATTTAAAAAAATCGAGCAATTTGAAGAGAATCTTTTGGATTTTAAGCAGTTCGAAATAATAGCAATTCATGAGTTGTGTGTGTGTGTGTGTGTGTGTGTGTATGTTCAATTATGTTACCTTTTCATCCCCTTTAGGAGCGTTTTCAGATTTTGGTTGCTAAGACCTGAATCCCACATTGATCTCGAGTAGAATCCTTGGTGTGGTTTCTGGTGTCTGCTCAGCTGTCCCCTCATTATACTAATGTGATGCTTTCATTATGTCCCTGTGGATTAGAATAGTGTCACTGTTACTTCTTAAGGAGCTCAGTACCCAGAACAGCCAGTTTGACTGTGATTCAGAGCCACAGTCTAACTGAGCACCTTTGAAACCCCTCCCTTTTCTGCCCCCTGCCACTTTCTGCTGTTGCCTCTCTTTGACACCTGTTTTAGTCAGTTGGGAGGAAGGGAAACATGAAGTTTAATTCCCTTTATCTGGGTTACTTCATTTGGTTCAGATAGTTGAAGGAATTAGGTTTCTGAATGTCTGTGAATTTCAGAGGTCTCTGCTAGTCTTGGTGTCATTTTCTAGCAATAACTGAGAGCCAGGTAATTTTAAGAATTTCACACATTTAGTCAGTCTTTCTAGATATCTCTGAAGGTAAGATCATTTAATATCTTTGATATGCTTACAAGTGAATCCTGATTATTTCCAGATCCACCACTAGAGTGGATCTTATTTTCAAAGCAGTATAGACAATTAGGAGTTTGCCCTCTTCCCCCGACCAACTTCAAAATATATCTTAAGATTGTAAATCTGGAAACTTCCATTGTAGTGGCCTGTGCTTTTCAGATAGTATACTCTCCTGTTTGGAGACAGGTACAACCAAGTCAGTCTGTCTCTGTGTTTTTCAGCTCAACTGTGTCTGAACTTTCTTTAAGTGATGTGTGTGGGGAGAAACAGAATGGTGCTCTTACCTTTCTTGACTTTAAAAAAATTATTAAAAAAAAAAATAAATTTTTTTGCAATCCTTTCCTCAGACCTGGCTGCAGGCTAACTGGAAGGCAGCACTCCCTTTTTTATATGGTAGAAAAATGAAGTTTATTATAAGTTTTTATATTTTCTACTTGTTCATTTGGTGCAAACTCAAGATTTTGATTTTCTTTTAATAGGTGCAGTCTTTGAGATAATTTGTTTTTACCTGTATTGCCCTTTATCTTTTTTAGATACTCCTTTGTACTCCTGCTGTCTACCTCTCCACACCCCAGCACCCCCCATTTTTTCAAACCTTGGTATCTGTTGGGTGAACAGTATAATCTTTTCATCTGCTTTTAGAATGTGGGATATTTCAAGTACCTACTTTTTTTTTTTTTTTTTTGCTGAATCCAAAGATATATAAATAAAATATATATATTTTATAAAGATTAGAATGATATAAAGGAGATACATGTTTCTTCCTTTAAAAAATAAATGGAAGTTACATTGTTAATGTTCGTATTATGATGCCACTTTTCTAAACTGCATCTGGATTGAAAGGTGTAAATATCAATAACAGTGCTACTTAGTTATCAGTATTTAATATCTGAGGTGAGTTGGGGGTATCTATATTAGGGGTAGGGTATTACAGAAGATAATTGGCTTGATGTCCTAGAAGTTCTTTGATCCAGAGGTAGGTGCAGCTGAAAGTAAACAGAATGGATTGCCAGTTACATGTATGCCTGCCCAGTTCCCTTTTTATTTGCAGAAGCTGTGAGTTTTGTTCACAATTAGGTTCATAGGAGCAAAACTTCAAGGACTGATTTAATCAGAGGAATAAGAATTGTTTTCAACTCCAGGGGCACACTGTTAATAAACGAGCAGGTGTTTTGTCTCTTCCTTTCTAATGTATGGAATTTTGAAGAATGAAATATGAGAGCAATATTTAAATTCTCAGGAATTGACTTACACTCTTGAGAATGAATTCAGTTTCAATCAAGTTTACATTGTGTTGCTTTAAAAAAAAATAGAAATTATTCTTTATCCTGCAAAGAATCGAAACCACATGAAATGACTTATGGGGGATGGTGAGCTGTGACTGCTTTGCTGACCATTTTGGATGTCATTGTAAATAAAGGTTTCTATTTAAAATTGGAGCCTAAAGAGTTTTTTTTTTTTTTTTTTTTTTTAAATCCCTGTTGGATTAAGGGTAAAGAAGATTAAGAAAGTCTATTTCAAATAATGGTAACAGTTTCTGAAGTTAAAAAACGCCACTAGGGAGTTGCTAGAGAGCCTTGGCCTGTTGGGGGCATTGAAACAAATGTGGGTGCTTTAGGGATTCTGTCATCTGTTAAATGAGAAATGGGTTGGATTGGTGATAGCTGAAATCTGTCAATTACTTGTATCAGGTTAGATTACCTGATATACAAAGAAGAGTTGGCCAAGGTGAATTTCTTTGCAATTGATTAATACTTCTTTTTAAAAAAATGAAGTAGCAAAGCTGATATACTATGAGACTTACCTGTAGTCCCTTGAAGTATGGTAGACTTTAGTCAATCTACAACCATCTACTCCCCTTTTAAGAAAATCTTCTAAACCCAAAGGCATTTTCTTCCAAAAAGATGTTGACTGGTAGTATCTTGAATACTTTAAAAAAACAGACACACCAAAAAACTCCCAAGAAATGGCCTTTTACAAAATGTCAAAGGTTTCTTCATACCAACTGCTGGTCATTGGCTGGGGTTTTGAACACTGTATGACAATACTTATACTACAAAATTTTTTTTACAAATACAGTTTCATCAAAACTTGGGACATACATCAACTTCTTTTCAGTACCTTAAAAAAAAAAAAAAACATCAGTTCTGGGACATAACAAAGAAATACTAGGAGAAACGGTATCTGGACAGGAACAGAAATGTCCACAACTGTGAGGGATTTTCTTTTACACTGGCCACAGAGCGTTTATTGACACCACCACTCCTGAAAATTGGGATTTCTTATTAGGTTCCCCTAAAAGTTCCCATGTTGCTTACATGTAAATAGTCACATATATACAGTGAAGGCAGTTTCTTCAGAGGCAACCAGGGTTTAGAGTGCCAGGTAAATGTCATCTCTTTTGTGCTGCTGACTCATTGTCGAACTCTCTGCACTGTTTTCAGCCTCTCCACGTTGCCTCTGTCTTCTTAGTTCCTTCTTTGTGACAAACCAAAAGAATAAGAGGATTTAGAACAGGACTGCTTTTCCCCTATGATTTAAAAATTCCAATGACTTTCGCCCTTGGGGGAAATTTCCAAGGAAATCTCGATCGCTCTCTTCGTTTTCCTTTGTGAGCTTCTGGGGAGGGTTAGTGGTGACTTTCTGATACGAAAAAAATGCATTTTGTGCAGCTGGTGAGGTATAATCCAAAGCAAAAGCAGGGGCAAAAATGGACTTCTTGAAGTTCTCTCTGCTCCTGCTGGTTATCCTCCAGAATCTGCCATGTTGACTGAGAGTGAGTGCTTGCTTTCTCAGGCCTCCTGGCCAATAGCATAGGTCTGCTGGAAATCACCCACGTGGTTTTTCGTTGCCTGCGCAGTCAGTTGATGCCTCTGTGTTTTTGAAGGTCCACCTCTGTTGTTTCTTAACCTTCCCAGCCTTCCCACAGTTGTCCCCTAAAGAACGAAACAAACTCATCTTAGCATTTAGCCATCACGGTCTTTATCATGACTTCCTAATCAGTCCTATAGCTGAGGAAGCTTTGCTTCAAGGCTGCTGAGAATGAATATTTCTAGGTTACTTAGAAAGGGATTGCTACCACCTAGTCACTTCAGTTTTTAGTTGTTTACTTATACACTCAATGCCTGGCAAGGATGGCATTTAAGGATCTGGATAGAATAGTAGCTAAGGAGATTGTGATATGTAAAGATTCTGTACCTTAATTCTAGAAGCACCAAAGAAAGGCTTAGGTGGCCTGTTACTAATGTCCTATTAAAGCCACTCAGGTTTATATGCATATAAAGGAATAAATGAGTAGACCAGAGGTTGCAAATGGCAGCTCACCAAGGAGGGTAGTTTGCCCACACGGTTAACTTAATGTCAAATGAGATGATAATGATAAAGAATTCTCACACATACCTGCATTTTTGGATTTGGTCAGTGAATTAGAAAATGTGGCAAACCTCAGCCCATTCCTGCGGGGAGCAAACTGGCCTGCTCCCTTTAGAATAGAGGTGAACTTTCCAGGTTGCCAGTCTCAGTCCCTGCCAGCCTCCAATGGCACTGGAGTGAGAGTCTGTAGCTGTAGCATGGGCTGTTTGGAAACCATTTAATGAGGCCATCCTACTGCTGATGTTGTATACCAGTTAGCACTTTTGCAGCCATAGCCTTCAAGATGCCTGGCAGTTTGTAATATTTAAATGCTTCTCAACCTCTAAGTAATAGCTCAAGTTTACCAAGCACAGATTATAGCGAGAACAGCAGTGTACTGGACAAGGCATTAATGTAAAACATGAAATGGATTCAAGTGTTTTCTTAGGGAAAGATGTGCATTAGTACTTCCCCGCCACCCTCATTATGAGAACAAATGAAGGATGGTATGTAAGAAATGGCATGCAAATAGAAGAGCATTGGCAAAATGAAGCAGTCAGAACCAGATCTCTATTTGTAAGCTGGTTCCTCAACTCACAGTGATTTGGAAGAAGGTCTCTTCATTTCTGGCCACTTTCGACGCTGAAACTGCCTAAGTTTTCAAGTGTCAAAAGGAGAATGAATGTTAACCATCACCAAGAAAGAAAAAGTCCCCAAAGAACTATACAAAGAAGGTCTCCTAGGTGACAGCTATCTTTGGTGGGTGATCCTGGTCTCGGGCAGACCAGAGGAAGGGCAGTGTCTCAACATAACAGGTGCGGACTCACAGAGATGAGACTGAAGGATGGGCCAAGATAGGAGAACTTTGTTTAGGCTTTCATAATAAAAAGAAATACCTGTATTGCTCATAGCTTCCTCCATCTTTAAGTCCTAAATGAAGGAGAAATAATAAAAACAGGAGCAGATAGTTTAGGCAAAGCTACCCCAACACACCAGAAAACCATCTTACACTTTTTTGTCACAATCCCATGATGTTGATAGTGTTCCCTATTCAAGAGTAGACGGAATTATGAGGGGAACCTGCCCTAAGTCTCCTAGGTAGCCTTGTAGATTGCCTAAAATCCAGAGTCACCACGATCAGTTTCAGGACCCTGATGGCTTCATTCAGTGCTGACCTTAGTCATGGTGAGGGAGGTAGACGCGGGCCTGAACATCTGTGCTCCAGAGGACAGAAAGCCAAGAGCCCTGACCAAGTGCAGGAGGGAGCAATAGCTCATGTTTACCAAGCACAGATTATAGCGAGAACAGCAGTGTACTGGACAAGGCATTAATGTAAAACATGAAATGGATTCAAGTGTTTTCTTAGGGAAAGGTGCATTAGTACTTCCCCGCCACCCTCATTATGAGAACAAATGAAGGGTGGTGTGGGCTCTGGGGAAGTTTTCCTGAGGACATGGCAGGATCGAGTGTGTGGGCTCTGGGGTCAGCCCACCTTATTCACTTTACTCCTCCATAGAATGAGGATAAGAAGATTCACCTCAAAAGCTTATCAGCTAACACATGTAAAACGCTCAGCACACAGCCTGGCACACAGTGACTTATATGTCATTGCACTTTGATCACAAGAGTAGCAGCGCTTGAGTGGCAGAGGTTAGGAAGCCACTAGTGAAAATTCCAATCATATCAGGCTCCTCACCAGGAAGTATTAGTGCAACATCTTCTGTAAACACAGTAGCTCTCCCCTCTTCATAACTAGAGCTGACTGTGGCATCTGAATTCTTCCTCCTAAGCTGTGTGGCCATGTTCCTGACATGAACTCCAGGCGTCCTCCTAGACACAGTCCCTTCCCCAAGGGACTTCAAATATCAAAGGTTTTAGGCCACTCTCACTAGTAAGTGAACTTCATTTTTCTTTTAATTTTTTTTACTTTTATTGTTAGAGACGGGGCGACAGCTCTGTCTCCCAGGCTGGGGTGCAGTGGCGCTATCATAGCTCACTGTAACCTTGACCGCCTGGGCTCAAGTATCCTCCCACCTCAGCCTCCCAAAGCCCTGGAATCATAGGCATGAGCCACCATGCCTGGTCAGCTTTTTTCATCTTAAAATTTCTATCTAGTTGGCATTCTAGATTTAAAACTGCAGATTTTGTCCTGTCCCAAACAAAACTCAGGATTTACCTGGGACTCCTAATCCTGCACCTCCCATCACCATATTCTACTGGGGGGCTTCACCACCTGAATCTGAAATCCATCATCTTCACTGCTCCCACCTCTAGTCCAAGCCACCATCATTTCTCCCTGGATAACTGTGCCATCTTCGCTGTTTGCTCCCATAAAGTCCCATTCTCCACCTAGCAATGTCAGTGCCTAGGTTAAAACCCTCCATTGGCTTCCTGATACACCTCAAATGAAATCTAAACTCTACCATGGCCTCTCACAGGGTAGCCTGATGCCCTCCTGCCACTCTCCACTGGCCTCAGTTGTGCTGGCTGTACCACCTAGGCTGCTTTCTGCTCCTCACACTTCAAGTTTCCTGGAACGCCAGCCCTCCACGTTTTCTCAGTGGTCGATTGCGTCCTACTCTTCAGGACTCAGTTCAGAGGTCTGACCCTGGTTTTATTAAGTGGTGCCTTTCCCCAGTCACACTGGATTCTACTGTCCAGTTTTACTCTTTCCATACAAGCCAGAGGCCTCCCGCTGTGGACTGCTCTTCTTAGGACAACACCGGCTCCACACAAGTCAGCCAGGATGGGGTCATCTTTGGTCACCATGGTTTCAGGTCTGAGTTCTCAGGAAATGTTTGTTGAATGCATGAGTGAACAAAAGGGAGGAAATGAAACGAGGGAATTCCGTGTGTTTCCTGGACAGCTGATGCAGGAAGCACAGCTTGTCAAAGGTCATCTGCCTGCTATGGACAGGGGCTCCCATGACTCGTCTGGAACTGCATCACCTCCCAAAGCCTGGTGATTTCGGGCTCATTCTTGGGGTAGACACCACCTCCTGAGTCCCTTCCTTTGGTTACCCTGCTCTCCAAAGGCCCCATGTTAGGGTGCCTACTCACCCAGGTCCATGTTTCGAGTCCGGGGGTTACACTGCTTGTAACCCTTGCAGCTCCTCAGCTCCATGAGCTGTACATGTAGCTGGTTGAGGACATCCCTGTCCAGTGTGTTCACTGCGTTCATCAGCTAGTTGCAAAAAGGGTAGTCTGTCAACAAGGTAAGTACAGGGACTCTCCCCGTGCCCTTCTTCTACCAACCAGGGGACATATTTCAGGCAGGTGGAAGGTGCTAGGGGCTGGTGACCTGCTTACTCCAACTTCAACTTCTGCAAGAGCCAGCATTTGGAAGAGTTAGGTGACTTTTTGGCTTCGAGTCCCACCAGGTTCTCTCTTAATGAGAATGAAAACTCAGGAGAATAAACACCATGTCTGTCTGTATTTAATGTTGGAGTTCTGCAGCCACTAGTCAGGAGACTTCCCAAGCTCGGAAAGAAAGCCTTCCAAGTCTTGGTTTTATCAGCAGCCTTCATTCAGATTTGCAGTCCTCCTGATTGCAAAGCAGCCATTTGATGGAAGGATGGGTAAGTGACTTGGGTTCTTGTGTAGTCTGGGAGCTACCGGTGACGGACTTACCTACCCCTTTGGTAAAGTATGAGGGTGAACCTATCTAAGGAGAAAGACTGGACACCTATATAGTAATTAAAGCATTTGTGCTGCTGATATTTAAACATCAGATTTCATTTAAAAAATTATTTCAGGCTTTTCTTGAAAGGTCAAAGCCTGGGCAATACCAAGGCCACAGGACAGGAAAGCTCTAGTGCTGGAGCTCAGCAGTGACTGTCCCTGTACAAGGGCCCACATGTTCCGATGACCAGACATGTCACTGCTCCTTCTGGTCTTGTGTGGTCCTGAGCCACATGAGTCGTGTGTGTGTTTAGATGGCTTACTGTACGGAAGCACTTAGCAGAGTGCTTGGTGCAGTGTGTTACTGTTATATTAGCCGCGTGGTCCGTGCAGGCCCTGCAGTGGGTAATATCTGGCTTGATCCTACAGCTTGACAGTTTTAGGAGTCTTCACAAGTTCCGGCAAAGCCCGGTTGAATGCTGCATGTTAAGTTAGAGGGAAGAAGCCACATATATTACACACGCAGGGTGATGGAGGCAAAACGCAGGGTGATGGAGGCAAAAAAGGCTGATTGAACACGGAATCCCCCAATCTCAGCGGCTTCACAACTTACTCCCAGTGGCTCAGGGACTCAGTGGGACTTGGATAATTTGTCATGACTTCCCTGAGGTTGGGGGGGGCTACCTGGCAGCACTGGGGTAACCCATACCCCCATCTCTCTAGCTCGGGTTGTCTGTACCTGGTAGGGGTCTGTGTTGAGATCAAAGTACTCTAGGAAGCCAGTTGCAAATTCACAGAAGAGGAAATTGTGAGTCTCGTTGATGGTCCTCATGCACCAGTACGTGTTATTGTTGGCGCTGGTGCAGGCACAGAAAGGCCCCACTGGCAAGGAAGAGAGAGCATGTCCTGAGTGCCTGCAGGAGGAAGCCCCATCTGCCAACAGTGATTCCCGTCAGGGACAGCCCCCGAAACCAGTTCATCAAATGCCAAGAGGCTGTCCCAAGCACTGTGGACCCCTGGTGTCGGGGACCCCCTTTCTGAGAGAGGTCTGAGTCACTTAAGTGGAGCAGTTTCTTGGCCCCCCGGGCCCCAGCCTGTCCACCTCTGCCCTGGGCTCGCTCACGTGTCCAGAAAGGCGCCGTCTGCCAGTGCTGGTTGTCGTGGGTGAAGCACGTGAGGCCTGGCATGCTGCACGTGTCGTTGTTCTGCAGGCGCTTGAGCAGCTTGCGGAGTTTCTTCTTGCGCTTCTGCTCCCGCAACAGCCACACCTTGTCCTTCTCTTGCAGACCCTTCCTATGGGCGCAGAGGGCCACACACGCCTTGGGCCTCTGAGGGATCAGTGACCCCGTGTCTCTGCTCTTCCTGTCCACCTAGGGGCTGGGCTGAGGCTTCTCCAACAGCCATGGGCATAGCAATTCAGGGTTCCAAGTCCCAGTGCTGATCCGAGGCAGAGCCGGGACCAGAACCTGGATCTTCTGTCATTCTACTTTAACTCCCAAGGGGGCACAGAGCTGGGGACAGAGCCAGGCAGCTACTGGGACTCCTGTTGGCATCCCTTTCCCCTCCTTCTTGTGTCCTGCCCTGCTTGGTGGAGTTGCCGCAACCCCATTTACAGTGTTGATTGGGAAATAAGGCCTCTTCGAGGGCCACCGCGGACTTCCCAGGGAAGGGCCTGGACTTCTTTCCTTTTCTTCTGTATTTTAGCTTAAGGGAGGGCCACCTCCTCATGCTAGGCCTCTGCATCTCTTCCCCAGGACCTCAAGCTGCCCTTACCTGAAAGGATGCAGACTGGAGCCTTTGTGCTTGAGGCGGCCTTTGTGCTGGGTGTGGTAGCTGTAACAGACCCCCCCAGCCCCAGGCTTCAGGAGTGGCTCAGAGGGCTCCGCTGGCAGGTACAAACTGTGGTTTCTGGGACTCCCGTGTATTGCTGCTGCCCCACTCCCCTGTTCCTCCTTCTGGGATGGTGGTGGGGAGGGTACAACCCTATCCCCAGGGCAGCAGGTACCTGCCTGGGTGGCTTCATTCTCCAGGCATGAGCCAGGATTCTTCCTGGGATTTTGCTAGACTTTAGAAGGTCGGGTTAGTTGTAATTTAGCCACGACTAGAAACTGGGCCTGGCTTTAGGTGCGTCAGCCTCAGCATCCTTTTTCCTTTCCTTTTGTGATGGTTAATTGTACACGTCAAAGCCTCAGCATCGTGAGGTTGGTTCCCTCACCGCCCTGCCTGCTCACGCTTGGTCGGGGCCAGCACAGGGGAGCCTGTGTTTTGCAAGACTTTCTGGAAAGATGGCAGGGCTTCTGCAGCTGTGCTGTCCAGTACGGGAGCCACTGGCCACAGGTGGCTACTTCAGTTTGAATTAAGCAAAATAAAAAATTCGGCTCCTTAGTGACACCAGCCACCACTTCAAGTGTGCACCAGCCACGCGTGGCATAGTGCAGACATAGCCCGTGTCCATCGGCACAGAATGTTCTACTGGACACAGCTGTTCTAGAGTTCAGTCCTTTGGGCCAGGGGATCCCTGAGCCGGGAACATGGACCTCAGACCACGTGGGGGCTTTCTGAATGGGCAATCGGCAGAGGCACGTTTCCGGCCTGGAGCCGGCTCTGCACAGCCAGCACGGGTCTCTTGCCAGCAGTACTGGAATCTGGGTGCCAGCCTGGCTGAGGAACGGTTCCGTGTGCCACACTGGCTGACAATAGGAATGTAAATTATGGATTTTTTTTTTTTTTATGCCATGAGGGGAGAAGATTAAAAAAGATTTAAAAAAAAAAAAAAAAGGGGGTCAATCACAAGAGGGGATGAACTGAACTGTCCTGTAGGAGGATGGGGTCTTAGGTCCCTTTGCTACTGCCTCACCTGATTTTGTGACAGTCACATTCTTCTGGCCGCTTTTTCTTCAGGTGACCTCGGACTTCCCTCAGGTTCTTAATTTTGTTCTGCAGGGTTTCAATCTGAGGGAGGGGCAGGAGAGGAGGCCTTGAAACCTTCACGGCTGGACAAGAAAGGCTTGGCCTGGTGACCGCCCCCACGCTGCCATGTCTGCTCAGCAGCAGCAGCCTGCCCTGCCCGGGCCCCAGGGCCAGCACCGGCATGTTTGGGTGGGGAGGACTTGTTCTCCCTGCTGAAGGAAGCCCACCTTCCCCTCCGGCCAGCCCTTGCAAGGGAACCGAGTCCTTTTCCTGGCCTGGCCTGCGGAGGAACCTGCTGAGCCCCCTGAGGGCAGCTCCAGTGTCTCTCCTGGGCTTGATGAAAGGCTTCATTGTAGCGTAGACTTCTTATAAGTCAAAAGGGGGACAACGTGGCTAAGCCATCCTCCCTCAGACAGACTGGGCAGCAAGCTGTCTCATGTTGGGACTGACGCCTATCCCTGGGTGGAGGAATCTGTGGGGACCTCACTTCACCTCTCTAGCCCCTTCCCTGGGTCGGGCCTCACTGCCCTCCCACCATGAGCCGGGGGTCCTGCCAGGCCCTTGGTGGCTGACGGCACGCTCCTCTCCCGCTCTCCACTCACCTCATGGTCGATGTGCAGCTTGTGGTCCTTCCAGGCCTGCAGGGACTTGTACAGGTCCAGGTCACACTGGACTGTATCATTCTCTAGGATGTAGCACCTGCTTGAGAGAAGGGATCATGTGTGGCTCAGAGGAGGTGGAGGGGGCCCAGCCCAGGGGCTCAAGAGGTGTGGGAAGCCCCTGCCGAGGTCTGTCCTGTCCCCTTCACTCTCGACTTCCACCTGGACACTCACCGATGTGTCACTTTAATGGGGTTGGCGGCTGAGTAGTCGGGAAGGCCTCCAGTGCCACTGAAGTCCCCACCATCCTTGTCATCTTGGTCCTCAGGGGCCCCTGGCCAGTGCCGCTTGGTGAGGTTTCGGGGCTGGGCGGCATCACCCAGGCCTACGTGGTACACCCTGCCGTCCACCTCGATGGCCACTGAGCGGATGGAGCGATTGCGGGCGTAGCTGGCCTTGTACTCTGTGGGCATCAGAGGGGTGGCAGAGTTAGGGAGGCGGGAAAGGCTGGCCAGGCTCCCTGAGCAGTGGGTCCTTCATTAAGATAGGGCCGGGCTTCCAAGCATGAGGCTCAGCTTTGCCTGTGACCTGAGGGGTTGTGAAATCTACCCGCATGCTCACATGCTCGCAGATCCTGGACCACGGGGGAGGGCCTCAAGGCGATCACGCCGGCAAAACTGAAGTCCTGGAGCCAAGAAGCCACTGGCTCTAGAGGATTTCAAGCAAGAGCTGCTTGCGGGTAAACAAATGGCGGTACCTCATCTGTACGACGGAATATGCGACCAGAACCAGAAGTGAGGTTCTGATTCACGCTAGAGCGCGGATGAATGTCAAAAGCATGCTGGGTGAAAGCAGCCAGACACAAAGTGGGCTCATATTGTTACATTCTATTTATAGGAACTACCCAGAATAGGTAAATCTACAGCAGCAGAAAGAAGATTGGTGGTTGCCAGAGGCTGGGGGAGAGGGCACTTGAGGAGTGATTGCTTTGTGGGTACAGGGTTCCCTTTTGGGGTGATGTTTTGGAACTAGGTACAGGTGTGCAACACTGTGAACCTATTAAATGTCTCTGCATTGTATACAATTGTAAAAATGGTAAGTTTTATGTTATCTGAACTTCACCTCAATTAAAAAGGAAAAAAGTATCATGGATATAAAAACGTTGATTTAAACAGGGAAAAAACGGGCCCTGCAGTGCCTGTCTCTGGGTATATATGGACGGGGACTGGGGAAGCCACTTAGCTTCTGTGAGTCCCAGGGAGCTGGAGGCTGCCCACCAGGTGGTAGGCAGGTGCTACATCCAAGTGGGCCGGCGACAAGGCCGAGAGGGGCTTTTGCATACGCCCCGACCCTGAAAACTCAGGCGTGCAGGCTGAAGTGACACCCCAGGTAGCCTGTATCTTCTATGTCTCAAAACCAAATCTGAGTTGGTGAGATTAAAGAAAACGGGAGGTGGTGGCGGTGATGTAGGGATCCAGATTTCCAGCTTCCGGAAAAGAGACATGTCTCACAGGCCCACAGTTCCATATGGTCAGGACGGGCCGGAGACGGGCGGCCCCTCTGGCTGCCCACTGTCGTCCCTGTTGGCCAGAGCCCCCGTCACTCCTGTTTTAAATCTCTGCCCACCTGACACAAGTCTGGCCTCAGCATGCATGCACTGCAGTTGCCATTCTTCTCCAGATGTGCCTCATTAAAGAGAAGGGCCTGGAGCCAGTTAGTGGCCCAGGTTTTGTTGGATCCCAAGTGACCCCAAGATGGTGACCAAGGAGGACCAGCTGGAGGCAGGTGGTGGCGGAAGGCGGTGGAAGAAGGAAGGAAAGGGCTCCCTTTCCCACATGGCCACTCTTGGGGGATGTTTTGTATCTTTTAATTCTCAGACACCTTGCATCACAGTCACAAGGGCCGAAGGATCCTAAGGGGAGAGGGCAGGCCTCCCCTCTCCGGCAAAGCCTTGGGCCTTTCTCCTGGGCACTTCCTTCCCTCGGCTGAGTCTCTCGACGCGTGTACAGAAAGAGCCGAGGATGCTCCCTGTGCCGAGCAGGTCCTGCCCTGAGAGGCTCAGGAAATGGACCCAGCGTGTCCTCTTCACTCCTTTAGTCCCAGTCGGCTTATGAGTGAGTGGCGTTGTCTCTTTCCACCCTCCATCTCCCAGCTCTAGACTCAGGGGTCCCTAAACCATGGCCTAAGGGCCCAGGCCAGCCTCCATCTGTCTTTGCGAATACAGTTTCACTGGGTACAGCGGCTCGCGTTCACTTACACCTCTGCAGTCGCAGGGCTGAGTCGCAAAGCCCCAGACCTTTACTCTCCGGCCCTTCACAGCCGCGGTCTGCCGGCCCTGTGTGATTCCTCTCCTGTACCGAAGCCACACGACCTGCTCTCCCTGTCTCTCTCACTGTGTCCATGTCCGGAGTCCCAGAGGTCCCCTTCCTGCCACACCAACAGGGCATGGGACAGGACTTCATAAGCCGGTGGCCAAGAGCTTTGACTCTGCAATCGGATGGCTGAGGTGCAAACCCCTGAGCACATGTGTGGCCCCGGCGATTTGGGTAACTTCTTAGGATGGTGCCTACCCTACAAGGGCCCCTTGGAGGATGGCACGAAACAGAACTAGTGAAGCATTCATGCCTGATGAGCTGGTATGGACCAGCTACTGCAGGGGGTGGGGACTCTGCCTGCAGCTGACGTCCTCACCTAAGGTGATGCCGTGCAGCCCCGAAACCTCACCATTACGCCCGCTCCCTGCCTTTCCATGCCAGTGACCCCCTGTGTGATGTGGCTGCCCGTGTCTACTGTGCTTCTCACCACTCTTGGCCACACCGGTCACCCCTCTGTGGCTGGGACCCCCCACACTCATTGTGAGTACAGGGCCTTTGTACCTCATCTTCCTCCTCCTCAGAACACTTGTTCTCTGGCTGGTCACAAGGCTTGCTCCTTTCTGTACAGGTGAGGATCACGGGGCCGCCGAGAGGCGCGGGTCCTGGCTCTGACATTACACTCACATGAGGATTCTGACCAGGGCTGAGCTGACTCTCGGCTACTTCTAGGTATTTTTCTTTCCTCTAAGCATTAATAAGGGGGAAAACAGCTGAATCTCTCCCTGCAAGATGTTGTATTATTTAAAGATTATCGACTGTGCCACATACTGAAGCAAGGAGATGCTGGCTGTGTAATCCAATCTGGAAACCAATCATCCTATTCAGCTAGAAAAGTTAATGCAGTAGTTCCTAACCAGCTGGTGAGGAAAGGTACCAGAGGATCATCAGCTGGGAAGCGTTGTTTGCGGCAGTGGCTGGGCTGTTACGGAAAGAGACTTATCTGCTCCACGATGAGGACATTTGCTGCCTGGCCGGATGGCCCAGAGGAGACCACCGCGCCTGCCGTCGGAGACCTCGATCCTCAATCTCCAATTAGTCTGTGGCACAATATCATCCATCTTATAAAGAAAGGACTTTTTTTTTTTTTTTTTTTTTTTTTTTTTTTGAGACAGAGTCTTGCTCTGTTGCCCAGGCTGGAGTGCAGTGGCATGATCTCAGTTTACTGCAACCTCCCGTTCCCAGGTTCAAGCCATTCTCATGCCTCAGCCTCCTGAGTAGCAGGGACTACAGGCGCCCACCACCATGACTGGCTAATTTTTGTATTTTTAGTAGAGACGGGTTTCACCATGTTGGCCAGACTGATCTCGAACTCCTGAGCTCAGGCAACCTGCCTGCCTCGGCCTCCCAAGATGCTGGGATTACAGGCGTGAACCACTGTGCCCGGTTAGGAAGGAGATTCTGACACAGGCTACCATGTGGATGAACCCGGAGAACATTATGCGAAGAGAAAAAAGCCAGCCACAGAAGGACAAATACTGTACAATTCCACTTACATGAGGCCCCTAGAGCAGTCAAGCTCATAGAGAAGT